GTATTGTCACGTTTTTACTCCCGTCAAGAATCTTGATAGAATGATGTTAGGTCAGCACTAGTCCCACCTGCATCAGGAATACTTTTGGGATAGCAAGGCAATGTGTAATTAAATGGAAACGTCATCTTTACTTATATTATTGTGAGAAAATTATGCTACCAGTCATTCAACACAATCAAATAATTTAGGGGGATAAGATGTTATATTACTGATATGATTGTAGTCTTAAAACTCTACTGAAGTAAGAAAAATATATAGGCTAGTCGGTTGTTATAGCTAATATACATTTGCTCTTATTCAAAATCACACCTAATTATATGGTATGGTAAAAGGCCTGCTCTACATTCAACTTTATATCTTTTATGCGGTAAGAGTCACTCGTGGCATTTAGTCTAAATGGTTAACGTTTTAAGCTCACATTCTGCACAGTCATGATTTGACTCTCCCTAGTGGTTTTGATAAGAACGATGCAAGTTAAAAAAAAGTGCACCTTGGATGATAATATCTTTTGGAAAAGCATGTAGATGTCAGCTTTACTTTTGACTTATTGCGAAAATTCTTCTACCAGTTCTTTATCACCTTAAATGGAATAGGGTCAATATATCACATGTTAGTGTTGACTGGTAAACTGTAAAATCTACATAAATAAGAAAAATAAATTATGCACTCGATTGATTTAGCAAATATTTCAACCAACCAAGGAATATGATATAATAAAAAGGGCTTCCTTGAAATTCTTATCTGCCGTGTGACAATAGGGTACTGATGACAATGTGGCCGCGTTGTTAAATTGGTATGCTCCCATTCTGCACTTTTAAGTTTATACTTTTACTAAAGTTGTTGATAAGAGCGATGTAAGGGTGAAACTCTATTCCACCCTTAATTAGACAAACATTTAGAAAAAAAAGACAAAATGTAATTAAATAGAAACGTTAGCTCAACTCATATTATTATGGAAATATTCTTCTACCAGTCCTTCATCCATTTAACGATAAAGGTTGAATACATAACATATTAATGATTTTCTGTTAGTCTTAATACTCTACTTAAATACGTGGTCGATTATCATAGCAAATATACATTTGCTTCATAGACAATCTAACCAAATAATATGGTATTTTACAAAGCTTAACCTTGCTTGATATTTACATATAATCTTTGACGCAAGGGTACTGGTGACAATGCGGCCGTATTTATAAGGTGTCAAGCTCACATTCCGAACTTTCGAGTTTCGGCTTTTGCTGGCTCTGTTGATGAGACAGATGCGAGGCAAAAACTGCTGTTCACTCTGAAATAGAATCACTTTTCGGAAAGCAAATCTACGTGAAACTCAATGTAAATGTCAGCTTTGCTTATATTATTGTATGAAAACTATACTACCAGTCTTTATTCACCTTAACGTACTATGTTGAATACATCTCACATTAAAGTAGTCTTTGCTATTATCCGCTATCGTAGCATGAAAATTTTATCAACACAGTTTGCGTAATGTGTTCTAAGGACGGATAATGTAATCTGCAACAATATTATAAGGCTAGGCTGCCTAATGATCTCTTATACCCAGCTAGACATTTTTACAAATATATATTCATATCCATGGTAAGCAAGTCTTCATTATTCTCGTCTCGTCATCTTCTCTTATTGCTACAGCTGACAGGATTAGAGACTAAATTGTGTGCCCAAATTACTGATTCGTTGTCTCTCTCAAACCCAACCACTAATTTTAGTGAGTGACATACAAGATGCGACTTGCAAGGAGAATCTTGACTCTTATAAATCTCACTTATATTGTGGAATTGACGTATTTACATCCAGTCTGAGATACCGGAATAGTTCTTGAATAACAGTTTCCTTTTAAGTTGGTAGCTACAAGATTGACAGTGTAATAACTCGATATTCTAAATAAATACAAAAAATAATTAACAAGTCGATTGCCATAGCAAATATAGGTTTATTTGATAGACAATTTCACCAATTAATTGATTTTTCAAAATGCCTTGACTTTCTAGATATTTGCATCTACTCCGTGAATCAATGTGGCCGTATTCATAACGTGAAATGCTTACATTCTGCACTGTCACATTTTGACTACTGCTGATGGTGATGAAAATACCGATGCCATATATAAATTGCAGATAAATCTAAATTTAAAAAACTATTTGGAAAGCAAATCCATGTGAAATTCAATGGAAACGTATGTTTTACTCATATAATTATGAGAAAATAAAAATATCGTTTCTACATCACTCTAAACTCAATAGTATTAATTTATCTCATATAACTAATTTACTGGTAGTCTCGTAACTCTACTTAATTATAAATATACGTTACCTTATTGATTGATATAGCAAAGGTACATTTTTCTTATCGACCTTCCTACCAAAGAATATGGTATGACCGTGATTTCCTTAAAATTTACATCTGCCTTACGACCAAAGTCAACTCGTAGCAATGTCGCCATGTGTTTAACGTGTCAAGCTCACATTCTGCACTGTCCCGGTTCGACTTCTGCTGGGTAGTAGAATTGTCGGAATTCACGTCAAGAATTATATATTAAAATACTTTTTAAAGGCCAGTTTATTTTGAAGTTGGTAGAGACGAGTTTGACAGTGTAAGGACTCGACAAAATGATTGTTACAGTAGTATAGTTAGACGGCTACTGTTACATGACAGCCGGTAGCACAGATATGAAGATTCAAGTATTTTATATGAGGATGATTACGTATAGGAGGACTGACCATGACTCCTGTGACAGCCGTGCTACCGTCTACACGAGGTCCACTGAATAAGATTTCACAAAGTTTGAATAGTCTAAACGCCTTAGAGGTTCCAATAAAAAAAATTGAAAATCGATAGATCTTCCTCATTTTCAGCTTCATTGATAATCTCTACTTTTTACTACACCACCTTGCTCTAAATTGACAAAATAGCATTTAATGTTTCATCAATTTATAACTTTATACTCTCCTTTTACACACAAATTTTAGTACCATTGGGTTGTCTGAAAAGCATACTCCACTTGAGTATGCTTCTTGTGCTTGTAGTCCTTAATTCGCGCATATAAACAGGCATACACTCTAGCTTTAAGTCTGGCATATATCGTTCACTAATTAAATCTCTTTAGCTCTTATCAAATTACTTTGATTGAGGTATTATATACAGGACTTATGGAAGAGTCTGTGAGTTTTTTTGACTTGTTAGCTTGAATATGATTGTGAGAATGCTAGACTGGTCAGATTATGTCCGTTGTAGGACAGACTAAATCTAAAGTGATTGCCTCCAAAGCATATAAACAAGAATATTTTATTAAAGTCAATATACAGCTAATCAAGAACGAATCCAGCAGCTTCTGTGGAAATAATCTTTGCCTTTAGAGAGGCTATATTCTCTGGATATTATTCTTACCAGGTATCTAACGACTTTCTTGCAATAGCGTAACCAAAAACTGTAGGGATGCTCTTAACAAAGTTTAATTAAGCAATTGTATACAGAAGCCTTAGTTCATTTCCTAAGCTTCTGAAAGCTCCGGGATCATGTGTGTTCTGTATGGCAGTGAAATTCCTCTATCTTTAGAGATTAAAACTTTAAGATACAGAAAACGCTTTAATACTCTTAACAAAAAAAGACGAATTATTTTTATTTTTCAAACCAATTATGGATACGCAGAGTAACTAGAATTTGATTAATATCCTAAACTTATTTTCGTAAAAAGACTTTCATTTCATAGTAAAGTGCATGAATAAGACACAAAAATGTTAAAGTCACTAGAAGGGAACTGTAAAATCTCGTTGAACTGCAGCCGTTTAGCTTTAATACTATATTGAGATTAATGCAGTACACAAGCCCTCTCTTGTTTTTGATAAGGAGGGGCGGACATTTCGTTTGGCATGCTACATGACAAAGAACTTTAGAGCTAAGAATAATCTTTTATAAAGCCTTAAGTTAACATTAAGTCAATAAGAAAGATTTGCTTTATCAAACACCTCACATATACTCATAACCAAAAAACAAACATGTATAGGTATAGCTAGTTATCGAATTAAATTTATAATTATCATTTATTTCAGTTCTATTAATTTTAATTGAGTGTGTCAGTACAAGCAAAATATCAGCCAAGCTTTGGCCGGGACGAAGAAATATATCTCGTGGATTACCATACAACAAAATAAAACAGTCGTCTTTGAAGGGATAAGTCGTTAGATTGCTTATTTATTCAATTTTATACAAAAAATGTCTCTTAAACAATTCATATTACCTAAATTGTCTATTTGATAAGGAAATAAAGAGAAAAGGTTTAGTGGTTGATCCAATTATTAGAAGCCTTGATATGTAAACAATTTAAATCTATAGTTAGGTAGAAGTTGATCGGACCAGCTTCAAGGTGTTTGAGCCTAACTGTGTCTTTTAACAAATGGTCTTCTTCTTTGAAGATGCGTCAAGATAAGACAGGCTAAAGCCATAGCATGTGAAACCTGATCGCAAACACAGAAGAGCAAGTCGATGATACATCGCTGATATCCAAAATTCAAAGTTATTACAGATACTATCCTTCGATTCACTTTCCATTGTTTGCTTTTGTAAAATCAATGGAGAGTACAACAGCCGCTTATCCAATCTTTTCTTGAGTTTCCAAAATTGGTAAACCTCTGGCGCTCTCTGACTAAAGCCTTTCTACTGTCGTGGATCCAAAAAGGTTAAGCCGCTTG